TGCCTACCTTCTAGAAGGTCTACAGCTAAGCTTCCGGAACTCACTAAGACTCCTACGCTATAGACCTACAGATCGAACCCCTGCTGCCTATGGACCTACGACAGGCCTACCAACTGCCTACGAATACACAGGTCACAGGTTCAATTCCCGGGGTCTACACAGATACTGTACATGGGTAGGGTGAGGTCTAGGGATCGAACCCTGGGTACTGCATCCGCTATTGCTAAAAGGTGAAAACCGTTTCAGAAGGACGGCATTGATTGCTTCTCTTGGGAAGGATGTACCATCGTTCACCCCTGCCTAAGTTGACCTGATCGGTGTACTTATAACAGGTATGGAGGCTGACTCTATAGGGTTCTTCTTAGCTACTTGGCTATCTGTATGACCTGAAATGTTGGAGCTGCTAGTTTGGTATCCCTCTGTGTCCTATACTAGTCTTTTAGCCCTATAGTCTTAGGCCTTGATATAACTTTACTTCCTAGACTGATAAACTTGGCAAAAACTCTTGTCACTATAGCTCCTTGGGTAGCTGTGGAATGAAACTAGCTCTGTTCAAGACTGTCAAGTAGGCTGCCTTTCCTGTTAGCTGGAAACAGAGAGTGTATGTGGATGTAGAACGATGGGTGAGAAGGTATTTTGTTGGGATTTGTCGTTATGGTATTGGAACAGGGTGGTAGGGTATGTTTTAATTAGGGTTAAGAGTTTTAGTGGACACTCCGGACAATATGGGACTGGGGAAGGGGAGAGTTTTCAGGGGGCTTGGAGGGCGGCTGATGTGGGTATATCTGTGTTTGGGGAAGATCTGGTTTGGGTCAAACTGTGGTATTATGGTTGGAGGTTGCATGTTAATAGGTGTACAGGTTTTTAGTGGGTAGTCGGGACAGGATGAGGCTGCGGATGTCTGGTTGTTCCAGAGGAGGTGGGGGTGATGGATTTGTTGGGGGAAGGTCCCGGTTGGGGGGTGCCTTGGTGTGGGACCTATCATGAAGTTTTCATCTTGTTGTGGGCTTGGCTCTAGATTTGCCCTTCGGGCTCAGATCCTCTGATCTGCTGCATCTTCGGGCAATGTGTTGGAGTCGACTGGCAGAGGGGTCGAAGCAGTCCTTAAGGAGGTAAGTGGCTCATGATAGGTTTGTGTTGGTACGACTAGCCAATGCTTAAGGACTAATCCGTCTCCCTCTATTGAGCCTAGTTTTCCGTTGCCTAGCCTTGTGGTCGAGAATTTCCTGATGATTTCTATTCTTTTATCCGGTGTATCCTGAAACTGTTTTTTTTGTTCTGTTCCATATGGCCTGTATCTCTGTTTCGATGATCTGTTTGATGGTGATAAGGGGGTTCTTGGGTTTGGCGCTGATATCGTTGAAGTTTGCTGCACATCTCCTTTTCTGCGTGCTGTACCATCTTGAATTGTGCGTGCCTGATGTTTTCAGTGACTTGCTGCAGGTCTCTCACGTACTTCAGTGCAAACTCACAGGTGTCATGGGGTAGTCTTTGAGTGTGATCAGGATTGGGCCCGTCTACCCATGTGGCTTCCATCCTTTGTGCAATTCATTAGGTGTCCTGTTAGACAACAGATGTATTGAGTTGTTGTATGCACTGGCTACCTTAGGGGCATGCTGGTCCCAATCCTAACTGGTCAGGTCGATATACACACGAAGGGTCTGTTGCAACAACTTATTCATCTGCTCTGGCTAACCATTAGTCGCAGCATGACTATTTGGCGACATGGTCAACTGTGATCCATACACCTTCACGAGTTGCTGCCAGTATTTCCCTGTAAACGTAACATCTCTGTCACTAACTTTGGTCAAAGCATGAACGTTATCCTTGATCCAGTGTGCAAAAGACTTACAGATTACCAAATCTGCTTTAGCTTCTGCTGGCAGGAAACTTCCTTCCCCTTCCGACTAATCTCCGCCCCACCTCATTCCTTACCAGCACCTAGATTCCCCAGCACGCACGCGTTATTGCGCGCCCCTCCTCCCCGATCTCCTGAACCTGCTTCCCAAACCAAATCCTCCCTGCGCAATTGCCTTCCTCCCCCCCCCCCAACCACCTGGCGAATTGCAGCTACCATTGCGATCGCCTTACTCCCACTGCACCCCACCCAAGCACCTTCCACGATTACACCTGCCCTCTATCCCTTTCACTGTGTGTTCTTCCTCCTCTTCTCCCCCTTGTGGCCACGATCCAGCTTGGCAGTCTGATCCAATCGGAAGCCATTGTAAGGTGGCGAGTTCGGCTACGGTGGCGCAGAAGCGCCTGCTGCATTACTGGGCGCAAAGATCTCGGAAGCGTGAAGAGTGCCTGGCGAGAGTAGTCGCCGGCGCTGGGCGGCATAGCTGTGAGCTTCCACAGTAGCAAGAGAGAGAGGGGAATGGTGTGGTTCTTGCTGTTGCGACTCTCATCTTCAGTATGATGCGTGCATAAATTTTGAAGAATAAAGGTGGTTAAGCAAGATCGTGATCCACGAACGTGGATCACTTCAACAGACCGTAACAAGAAAAAGAAAAAATATATATTGAAGGCATGGGCCGTAGCCCAGCCGTGTAGTATCAGAATGGGGATGCTATGCAAGTCAAACCCGCTCATCTACCTGAGCTGGTCGTATCTGGTAATTTTGGAAAAGGTCTTCCTCGAAGTTGATGCCATGTCGATACATTTCCTGCACACAAAAATCTCAATGCGCGCCACAAGTCCAGAACTCAAATTCAGTTAAGAATATCATTCAAAACAAGCGCAGCTCCGCCGCGGTAAAAAAAAACGCTGAGTCAAAATGAGAAGCATGGACAGGTGATGCAATGACGAGGAGACGGAAACCAGAGCTCCGGGAGGATGTTGGGGAGGTATTTTTCTGACTGGAGCAAATGACAAAGCAAAGACGAGAAAATCTTTGATGAATTGCAATGACACATTGTTGTTATTTTGTGTCTCCGCCTCCATTTGCGTTTGTGTGTGCGAGTATCTGCCGTTGTATTCCTATCTCTCTAAATATCTCTAAAAAGCAGGGTTGCATCCCTGCCGATCGCTGACCGTATCGCAGCCGACCAGTACGGCTGACCGGTCGGCGGTCTGCCGACCAGTCAGGAAAAAAAATAATAGAAAAAATCCATTGATTTTTTTCAAATCTGAGTTGGGGGCTGTACTGCAC